AACATTTTCTATATATATATATACACACACACACACACACATACATACATATATATCTATATATGTATATATGTATATATAATTGTCAATGACCACCTCTCGAATTTATTTATCATAAATTTACTAAAATACGAAAGAAAATAATCACAGATTACGTGTTAAATAAATTTCGCTATATACGTTCGTATGTATAGATTTTTCGGTCAGTATTAATTTTCGCTGAAATGGATGATAAAGTGTAGCTTTGTCAAACAAAATGTACAACATATAAAACAACTTTATATATTGTTCTCTGACGAATAAAATGCAAATATACGAAACATAGAGAAATGTTCGAAAATGATCAAAATTCATAGATATATATATATATATATAAAAAAGAGGAGAACGTGTACTTGTAATCTACATTCCAGTATTTGGTAAATTTTCGGGCATCGACTTCGAAAATGATGTACAACCCTGTCGATGAAGCAAAGCAGGCCGATCTTCTTAGGATACAACGTAGATATTATTGTGACAGTTTCTATAAGTTAAAAGTATGCTAGATGCGATTTTATAGGATCGACAGGAATGTACCGTAATTTAATTATTCGTTACTGAAGAACAGAAGGAACGAATCACTGGTGATAAAAACTAAGGTCAATCAACGGTCAGATTATAATAAAAAATACAGCGATTGATTTCTTCCTGTGCAGTTCGTCGAAATGCAAGAGAGCCCGATATTGCACAATATATACGAAAAAAAAATGAAACGGAAATGCACGTTTAGTTTACCTGATGGAAAAGTTCAGGTAAAGGCATATAGAGGGTACCCGTGATTATGTACATTTGAGTTGTACCCACCCTCGATCCGGTCACTTACAGAAAACCATAAAATACGCTGCCAAATTAAGCGCTGCTTTCAGCGGAAAGCTGGGAGCGCAATGATGAATAACAACCCTGACAAACTCTGACAGGTTTTAAAATTCCTAACCTCGAGATTTTAGACTCAAATCGGCTGCATCTGCGTGAAATAATGGAAAGAATTAATGAGACGTATACAAATATAATTTGTCTACAATTCTAATGACTTACTTTGAACAGAATACTTGTCCACAGTTGCGACAGTGATGCCTTCTTTCGTAAAGATTAAATCTAACTCCGCAACCAACACAAGAGTCTGCACCCTCATCTTTTAACCAGTGATCGGCGACTGTGCGACCCGGTTGCTCGCATACACTCCACGAGAAGACTCGACCTCTTGTATCTCCTACGTATACTGTTCTATGATCCCTGAAATTTCATTCACAGTATATGTTATTTTATCTTTACATCAATAATATTAACACAAATATTGTAACTGAGAGTAGCACTGTAAGCATCACCTAATTAACTCTTGACATTGTATTGCTCATGTTTCTTAAGTTATCGTAGCATACTTTACCTCACTATCAGAGACTGAAAAATGGTAATCTTATATGTAACTGGATAAAACGTGTCGAATTACCCTATATGTAGCGACAAGGATATTCCTGTAGATTTAAGAACACTCGAAACATGTGTACTAGTATAATAATTTACCTTGAAACCGCGAGAGCCGTTATAGATGCTGGTTCTGCATTATCCTTTCGGTCGTATGCAGTATGCATTGTTAATTTACTTCTAAATACTAATTGCCGTTGCCATTTAAAACCATCGCGTAAGACATTTTGTGGATTAATTCTTCTAGGTTTTGTGTCAGCTTCTGTGACCATCACAAAACTGTCTGTTAAGCTGGTATCGCTTTTACTGGCTCGCAAGGCTCCTTCAGAGTCTCCAGTAGTGCTAGACAATTCACTGTGAAGTTAATAATCCAGGTATTATCATCATTAATGCATACTTAACCCCTCAAGGACCCAAGGTAAACATAAATCTGCCTTATAGGATTAAATAAGGGTCAAGTTCTGTTACCTGGTTTGAGTACCCTCGCTGTCTGCGCGTCCTCCGCCTTCGCTCTTCCGAAACATAGGGTTTCCACGACTTTTCCTACGAAGCACAACAGTAGGAGTGTTATTATTCTGTGGTGATGGTTTGCTACTAGAACCATTGCTTGAATCGTTGTCCGAGCACTCTTCTTTCTCTTCGTGCAATCTCGACGCTTCTTTAGAAGTTTCCGCTTCCGAAAGACTACTTTCTGAACCGCTTTTCGCAAGCATAGCTACAAAAATAAATAAAAAAATAAATATACAATATAACACTAATGTTATTCCCATAGGTATTCACCTGAGCCTTCAGCTGATATACTCATTTGCTTAACCAATTCGTGTACCCGTTTCTTAGTACTTTCATTCTGATTATCAGTCTTGCTCGACTTTGTGTTTTTTTCTTTGGCAGCTGCAACTTCCTCGGGTTTATCTTCTTCCGCAGGCACTTGCACGTAATCCATTGACCACATCTAGAATTTTAATCGTCCCTGTTATTCGTTTACAATTGATTCTCATAATCGTACTGGAATGAATAGCATAATTCTTACACGAGCTACACCGTCTGTCGAACCTGTCATAATAACATTTTGCGAGTCCCATTCGTGAGTTTGGCTAAACGCCACACACAGAATTTGCTGCATTCTATCAGCTCGTCCAACGCATGTGTTGACACTCGCTAGTTCCTCACCGTTGATGCTCCACACGTGAAGCCATGTAGCTGCACATGTTGCTATATCCCCCTACAAGATGAAAAAGAAAAAAAATATTAAATGTGAAATGTGTATCAACTTGGTCTTCTACATTGATCGTATGAAACTCACCGTTAATTCGTTTATGGCTACTGCGGCCACTGGTCCTGCATGTCCTCTCAACTGACGGACGAATAAGCAGCGTGACAAGTCCCATATAATTGCTGTACCGTCCCGAGATCCTGATACAATCACATTGTAGGCTGGACTTGACGACAAACATGTAACAGCATCGGTATGACCATAGAGACACTGTTTGATCGAAAGTTGCCTCTTCGTGTATTCCCAAACGGTTACAACCTGTTGAAATACGGTACCATAAAGGTCCGGGTCGATGAAGTTTAAAATAGACTATTGAATGCCCTTACGGAGCTTGTGCCAGCGGTTACGATCAATTTGGAAGACGGACAAACACAAGCAACTATCTCTCCGCTACTCTGCATCATAGCTTCGCAAACGAACATCGCTTTGTCGCTGTCGTAATTTCCTATTCTAAGCGAATGGTCCGCGAAACCCCATGCAACGTACTTATTATACGTCGGAGGAATCAGCGTTTTATTTTGTTCAACAGCCAACACTGCTTTATCCACGTGAAGTATCTGACCGACGGGACCTTTCAATTCTATTAAATAGACCACTCAATGTTAACGTATGATCAAATTAATAAGAAAGAAAAAGCATAATGCAGATATAAAGATAATAAACCTTTGATAGGTTGAAGCGATGGCTTCAAATTGTCAAGATTATGGAAGAACAATTTATCAGACGTAGTAATACTTAAGCCTGGAGTGATTGGTCCAGGATCGATAACGCTGGTTCTTTGAGTCATCTTCTTAGCCGGGTGCGGTTTCTTAAATAACTGCTTTGGTATTTGACCGAAATTATTGATGAATCCAATGGTAGCATTCTTTTTTAGGGGATCGTCGATGCTAAAGGAACGTATGTTAAGATTAGATTTGGTGAAATGAGATGACTGTTAAAAGGTTATTATACAGTAATGGTGTAACGTTAGTTTTACTTGTAAATATCGACGTTGCCTTCATAGAATAAGTGATGGAACACATTTACTGCTTCGACTGCGGCCGGTCCATTTTGCTTGCAACCGAATATTAAATCAATCCATTGATGAAGGTGTTGCGACACGTAATCGCATTCCAATGCGAGTCGATGCACGCGTATAAATTCCCGAGGATCCTGCTTCGCCCATGGTGGAAGTACAATGTCTCCCAATTGCACGCCACTTTGTTTAGAGCCTGGGAAAATAATTTCATGTCAGTTTATTCGATTCTATTAGCAACACAATAAAACATGATATCCACCTAAGTCAAAATGATTCGAATTAACGAGAAATTCTGGAAGGTAGAAGAATTCTGGTATAAGTTCTTTCACATCCGCCATGTTGTGTTTAGAAGCAGAAAGCCAAGCTTCTTTTATGCTATTGAACATTCTGTCCGCCAAGTCGAAATGTCCACCCTATAGAAAATATCGTTCAAATTTTAATATGAAATTAATGACAGGAAACGAATTATCAAACAATTGCTTTTACAAACCTGGAGTCTAAGAAAATGTTGCGTGAATGGTTCCATTCTCACTAAATAGGAACACACTATCATAGCGGAAGAATAGTGCGTTCCATAATGATAGGGAGGCGTTTCTCCGTGAGGATCATCCCATTCTTTATATCTATTTAAATACAAATTCAAATTGAATTCATCTATATATCCAGAATATATAAAAAATCATCAATTTAATGTACCTCTTCTTGAACTGCAATAATCGTTCAGGGCTCTGTGCACCCATAGGTTTACCAAAGTCTCTAAATGTCACTGGATCAGTTAAGTCAAGTTCCTCGCTATCATAGTCAGCCAATATCCATGGAAAGATTGGATACTGCATCAAATCATTGTAACTACGGCCAGCTAAAGTGTTGAGATGCATCAAATACTGGAAGTTAGATATCTCTCCTCTCTGAAAATATCAATGCATTACATCATAAAACGCCATAACACGAATAAAAGAATACAACGTTAATTAAGATACTAACCACCCATCGTTGGGTAACCGATGTTTCTCCGATTAGGTTTGAAAGCAGACCCGTGGCTTGCTCTACGTTTGCAGTTCTCTTTTGACCAGCCACTGACTGTTGTGCGCTGTCAGCTATCGCTGTTGCGAATGTCATGAATCTTTGATAAACTTTATTCCTCACTTTACGTGGAAACGCTAACAAGTAGTTTCTGCCGTCTCCGCTGAATACTTCCAGTGCCATCGGTTGTAGCAAATACCTCCTTTTATGCACTTCCCTGTGAAACGCAGACAATTATCCTGCTACTCTGACTCACTAACATTTCTCATTCAAGATAATATTTTCTTTGCGTAATTTATTACCTAATATCCTCGTAATTAAACTTCGAGCACTGCCTCATTGCTCTAGACCTTCTAGGAGAACCTGGCGATGGCAATATTGGTTCATAAGCCTCGGGTAAACTTTCGATATCCCTTATTTCTCTGGATTTTAACAGTGTAAACCCATCGATCACGTAGAAATGTTCCTTTCCAAACAATAATAAACCTTCCGTGGTATCTAATCCCTGGATTCTAGCGCACCTGAACATGTGACTTATCTGGAAATACAAATAAATAAAATAAGTAACTGTAATACCCACTCCAGTGTCACTTATGTCTGGGAGACAAACCTTTTCGTGTTCCTCTAGTAATCGTATCAAAGTTTGATTGTCTGGAACAGCCTGATTATTTTCCTCTTCTTGCTCGTTGTCTTCTGTTACTTCATCGGGTTCACTGGCGTGACGTTCCAACGTGCAAGGTACCATGGGAGGTTCACTTTCTGTAGAAGCTTCGTTGACGTTCAACGGAGTGTCGTCGATGACGGGGTCGCGTTCTCGTTCAAACATGCCGGAGGAATTACCAAGTTGTTTCAAGTAATACTCCTTGCTGTCGGTGCTCGTTGCAACTTTATACTTCAGCTGTTTCTGCAAATGGTCGAAACGCACAAATTCGAATTCACGAACTCTTATTATTTTATACATTACAAACTTCCATAAAAACAACATACGTTATCTGGGTGTTCCAATTCAGGTCGATAAGGATAATGGATATAGAAGAGTTCGTTTTTCATCATCTTCTTTCGCATTCTGCATGGGCCCTCAGTCATGTCTAACATCCACTTGTCCAGTCTGGTAGGTGTCGGTGGTCCCCATAGACCCCGTTCTCTCGTTAATTCAGTTTCAGTTTGCAACCATTCCTGTAGATTGATTAATCAGTAATATATTTATTTCTTCCTTTGTCTTCAACATCAAATTGATTTCTTACTTGATACACGTATCTCTGAGTGTGCTGATTGGTTTGGATGTATTGTAGTCTTTTAGCCGCAGCTAATTCACGCACCAATGCCACGTGTTGCTCCGTCCATTGCGCCACTGTATTTTGATGTAATCGTAGCCTAACGCGCACGGATTCTTCTTTCCTCACTTTTGTCCTACTCGCCAATCTTGTCAAGCCTCCTGTTACCTTTTGAATTTTCTGAAACATTGTACAGTCGTTTGAGCATCGTTTTCTCCTCATGTATCCGTTACAGTTATTGCTGGAATCCTCACCGACTGTATTTGATTGTGTAGTTCCCAAGGGACTCTGTACGAAGCCTTCCTTTCCATAACAACGTAATTCATCCAAAGCCTGGTTGCAGCTTCGTTTAATTGATCTCTTATTTGCGACAGCTCGGGAGCACGTTCGTTTCCTACAGGCGCTGGAAGTGTTATTTTAAACACTTCTTCTATAGCGGGTTTCTTGCATACATATAATTCGTCCCAAACTCTCATTGCCGCGACAGACATCAAGTTGTGCCCCTGATGCGAAGTTAGTCTGTCATCGCTGGCTTCCACTTGTGGATTTACGTGCCACGTGGTTTTCATGTTTGTGTCCAGCATGACTTTAATATCTGCTGTTAACTGTAAGAGGCAGTACGTTAGGCAACCGATGAATTCCAATTCGTGATTGCCAGCACCAAAAACTAGTAGCCTAGAAAACACAATTATGGTTACATTATAGAATTTATTATTAAAACGTTGCATCAAGTATCTAGTCTACCTATGAGTCGTAAGTTTATGTAATGCTTCGAAGACAGCCATTTGATCAGCTATCGAGTCTGTTGTCCGGGACAACAAGAACAGAATAGTTCTGTTCAGACAATGATGTAGACCTTCCATGCTAACAACACCGGGCCGTCTTTTAGCTTGTCCAATTAATTTCACGATAAAGTCAAACACTTCGTGCGGATCTTTCGTCAAAGCACCTGCGTGTCGGAAATCAGAGACTTAATAAACTGATTCGGAAACATATGAATAAAAATATAGTATTAATGAGATTCATGGAATTCACCTTGCCACAGTTTATCCACTATTCTGGCTGCGACGTAACATACATTGTTAGTAATATTGTTGACAGAACCGCCAGGAACTACAGGTAACGCCGCTTGCTCTCCGATCAGAACGTCAGCGGCTAATAAATGCTCCATTAGAATAGATAGAACTTCCGTTTGGTAACGTGTTTGTTGACCCGTAGAAGCATGCTCTGGCCACGCTTCTAAAACTAAATCGATGGCTGGTGGAGACTTTGCAGTGACTGGTAAAGAAAGAGAATCTACTACGATGACCCTTAAAAAGTCCATCACAAATTTTTTCGCTGGGTGATTTATCAAACCAACATCCTTCGAAGGAGATCTCACCAATACTGGCTCTTGCTGTAATAGAAAAATCATATAATTGCTTCCGGATTTAGATGAAAGCAGAGTTGATATTTATCTGTGATAGTTACCTCATCTGCTGGGGTACTAGCTCCACTACTATCTTGACTAGAACTCGTAGGTTTTGGAAACAAAGTGCCGGCTAGTGCGCCTAACACTTCCGCAGACATGAACACTTGCATGAAGTCTGTGAAATTGTGATAGAGGAAGAACAGGAACTGTATTATTGTCACTGGATAATCACTTAACCAATCGGGTAGAGATTCGGGGCTATTGAATAAAAATTTTACAAGTGAAATGAACTTTCTATGAAATCGATTAGTCTACTTCAATAGTACGATGCGGAAACTTACTTCATAGAGTAATTATTAAGCATTGTTCGCACCATTGCTAACAAAGTAACCACTGCTTCGGGGCAAAGGTTAATTCTACTTGCAAAGGAAGATAGCGTATGGTTCGCTGGGACACCGAACAAGAAATTCCACACGTTATCCAAGTCGAGCTGTTACAACAAAGTATGGAAATTTGTTACATTTACGTCTCGTTTGAGTCTTATTAAGATATGGTATGTAAAAGTATTGTGCTCGTACTGAACTTTTAAAATGACTTTTGAATCGGTGGGCAATAATTTCACTGGTTGGCCCATCATGAGAGCGATAAAGAGAAAGTACAATTCTGGAACAAGGTCCACATGCTGTGGCAGCAACCATCCTAAATGTTGAAACCCTGGTACATGGAGACCAGATGGTTTAATCTCACCACCTGTCATTTGCTGATGACAACCTAAACAGAAAACTCATGTTATGAAGAACGATCGGTTCACTGTTAATTCTATTCAAATCCAATGTTTTCTACAAGCATACCAAGTGCAAGTGCCATTTTGTTATGATCCGTATGGCGTAACCAACCACCATTGCTAGTGCCTTCTTTAAATTTCTGTAATATTGGTTGTACCGAACAGACAGCCACCAATATTCGCAAGCCCCATATCACTGTCGTACTATGAAGACCAGATTGAAGAAACAATAATATCCAATCTAAGCCCAGTACTTTAGATAATTCTTCACACATACTGTAATACAATTGTTACATCAAAATACATCATAACACACACATTTCCCATTTCACTTTATTGCAATACTTACTTTACATTCACCTTGGGTCCATTAAATAACAAAGAATGTAAAAGTTGCAAGCAACGGTTCCGTAAAAGTATATGTTCCCCTTCTCCTTCTTTATTACCTTCGCTTTCTCGAAGAATCAAGTGCTTCTCTGAACTTTGAGGTAACGTAGCTACTATGAATTGACCAAACCTTAAAGAAACAAATACTTTTGTCAATATGAATACTTAAAACGGATGAATTGATGGCCCAACTCATCACATATAGAAATTACCAAAGTAAATCAGCTTGTCTCGGCTGACTCAATAGAATACTGAGCAGCGCAAGCAAAATCTGCCGTGTGCTGCTTTGTTTTACATCACTTAAGATATGCAACAGCTTATGCACCAATTGCAAATCTCTCATTAAACGTAAATTCGTCCTTTTCTCACTTGACTCCGCTATTAATTCGTACAGATGTTCCAAAAGTGATCTCAATAATTCTCCCGGTGCTTCGTGCCAAACCTAAAGACAATTTAAAGTGTTTCCGTCAATGATTATTATTCCTAATCATCTTTTAAACGAAGCTGTGATCAACGAATCGTACTTGTAAATCACAAAGGAGATCTTGAAACGCTGTTACATTAGGTATCGCGCTCGTTTCTCTGCCACTGTCAACTGTGCCAACAAGACTGAACGTCAGATGTAAGATGTGGCTGTTCAAGAGAGGACATTTCCTCCGTAGTAACATTGCTAATGTTTGATAGCCTCTTCGACGATCCATTTCTTGCTGGGCTGCTTGATTCGATCTTACAACGCAAACTAACGCTTTGACGGCAGCGTACAAAGACTCTACGTCTTGAGCCATGGCTATTAAACCTGTTGATGCAATATATAAGTGCTTAATTAGCATTACAGTGAACATTAAATGACTGCAACACCGGGTCCCGATGAGCGTTGCAATTACCCGACGTTCACTGTACTTTTAAATCCATAATCGATATCAGAAATGTAGAATTTTCAATTACCTAATAACACTGAACATCCTCCCACGTTATCAATCATTGTAGCTACGGGCCGAGGACTAAAAACCCGAACACCAAGATAACCAACGACTACGCCTCCGAGTGCCCTTGCTGGTCCACTAAGGTGTCCCGCAGAATTGTGAAGAACTCTAATGGGTGTAGCATTTTCGTGTGACGACATACCAAGCTGCAAAGAGTAATTCATTCAAATCAGTAACATTTAAAAGTTCCTCTATATTTACTCGCAGAAAATATTACACGCACCTGTTTGGCAATTGATTTATTATCCGCCCGACTATAAACTTTTCTAATTTTGGCTAACGTCAACTGAGACATCGCTTTAGCATTTAATCCAAACACAACTTTTTCTTCTGCGATAAGAGGCGTTAAAGGTTCTTGTGCTGTAATAAAAGAACCACTTATATTTATGCCCAAATGGTAATTACAATTATTGTTGTAAGAATCTGAACAATCGCTTAGACGAATACCCGATAATTGTGGAGCCTGTAGACTTCCCATATAATGTGGTCCTAATTTAAATAAAGTCGCTATACTCTGTGAATTGAACACCTCTTCCACTAAATGGCATGGCCCTTGCTTCCACGCCAGTTTAGAATATCGCCGCCAACAGGGCGGTGTACCTATGTACCCATAAACCGGCGATGCTACAGTCAAATTCGCTACTCCTCCTCCGGGAACTTGCGTGATATAATGAAGCTTCTGACTGTGAATATGCTGACCATCCAAATATAATGAGAAACTTGAGTTTTTTAATACAGCACGATTGAGCACTATAGCTATATGGTGCCACTGTCCCTCGTGAAGCAAGTCAGGACACCAGACTCTTGCACCACATTCACCAGTTCCTTCTGGCTCCCATTCACCCACATCTACACGAACAATAATTCAATTTTAATTACTTAAATTTCAGACTTTGTACATTACGTGTCAAGTGAAAAACTTACTTTGCGATATTGGTGTTTCTTGCGTCGATACAATAATAGCTTTATCTCTAGCACTTAGGACCGCAGTTAAACAAATTAGATCTCTTGCAGACTGTGGGGTACGCACTAACGTCAATAATCGTACACAGTGAGGATCAGTTCTAGGGTCGCTAAATTTATCAACACATATCCATGTACTATAAGTAAGTCCAGTTTGCGGAGGAAATAGTCTGTCACCTAAAAATTAATTATATGACGTTACTCGTTAGTTTAGGACCACTTTAGGACCAGTCCTGAATTTTAACTTTAATAGTTTCATTTAAATACGAACTAAACCTTGAGAGATTAAGTGCGTGCACAGAATGGTACAGGTATAGTATACCTAAAAAGGTAATTATTACCTGAACCGATCCCACCGAGCACACTACTGTCAGCAGCCACTACTGTAGGCGGGGTCGTACTCTGTGGGGCAACACTAGGCAAGTATAAACATGCGAACCCTTCTGCGCTCATGTCAAGTTCTACGAAAGGTGGCAGAGTACACGAGCCATGAGCTCGGAAATCCTTTGGTGTTGTCATTGACACTAGAGTCTTAATACGTGTTAGTGGTACAGGACCGCCTCTAGGTTTATTCGGTTCAATGTCGTCCAGTGAGATACAACATAACGGATCACCTAGTCGTAAAAATTCTCTGAAAATAGGAATAACATATATATGTACTGAACATAATAACGCTTTATCGGTCGCATTGATAAGTTCAGTCTACCTCAAGTCACGTGGCTCTAAAGACTGTGCCGCTAATCTTTCTATGATATATTGAAGTGGTTGATGTAAAGGGTGCGTTTCATCTTGTAAAGCAATTCTGCCTACGGACAGCAATTCACCTGCCATTCCAGCGTCGCACATTATCTGTTGATTCCTCTCTGAGCGTACTAAGCTTTTAATGATTTCGGCTACATATAACTGTAAAGCTAAAGCCATTTGACAATTTGATGTCTCCGAGATCGACGGGAGCAAGTGTAACATTCCAACGACTATACCAGGGTGTACTACAATTGGCTCTGGAGTAGGGGGGTTTAGATTTAATGAGTTTATCACGCTCCTCTTTCCACTCCCGGGAGAATCAAATGATTTCTGTTGCTAAAAACGATTATGTTTAGTTATGAATGGTTCGTACGGCGGTAGTAATATTATATTTCTAAATTGTGAATCACCTCGACGCTATTTTGTTTGTGACTTGGTGACCTCATTCCTAAGCCTGCTAAATTTGGCTTATCAAAAGAGTCGAGTGCGACGTCGTATAGAAGACGCAGCAGTAAACATGCATATGCTAGTGTTTTTGGTATGAGATCTGGAAATACAGGTTCTAATACGCTTCCAGTAAACAATGTTAACAACATATTATGGTAATTCGTAGTCGGTATTAGATCTATTTCCGTGAGTTTCGTTTGTACGGAGAAACATCCAAGAAGTCGCAATGTGTCGCATAAACTCGATTGACATATCTACACAAAATGGTGATCGTATCAGTAGATTCATAGACGATGAGGATAATTACAAAATATTTACCTCATGATGAAAGAATTTCGCGTTCGCCGGCTCAAATCTCATAGCTGTACTTATTGTGTGGAATACAACGTGCAGGAGCGTTAACAGTTGCGCTTCTTCCTGCGGTGTCCTTTTTATTATATCGTTAGAAATCTCAGCGCTCTCCACCCTTTGCGTGCCCAATTGACCTTCCAAGGATACTAAAACGGACATCACGTATACGAAACCTCCTACCTTTCGGAACACAGTCCTAGTTCGGTGAGACTCTCGTAGACAAGCCAGCAAGGACTGAAATAGTATGATATTTTACAATGACGTTTATAATTTTAGACAATGTTAAATTCGAGATACAAACTTTCAGTATGTGTGTTTTTAAAACCAAGGCATTGGAAGGTGCTGAATGCATAACACCTAATAATGTAGCCATATCATCGTCTCCCCCCGCGCTAAGTATCAATTCCCTAACAATACCAAGTGCTTGGTACCGACAGTCTATATAGGGTACAAGATTATGAGCACAGCGTGCTCCACTACATTCCCTAAATACGTTAGCATTTTGAACATTGCCCGCTAATAATGTCGTCAAAGCATCCATTACTAAGGCACCCAACCGTTCATCCTCTGGGCATATATTGTATTCTGAAAAAAAAATATTAGTTGATTCGAATTACAAGATAAACCTGTTTAGTAATGCAAATAAGAATGTCAATTTTACCTAATCCTTGATCGTATGCAGCTTGTTTGTCTTTAAGCAAAGTTGCATAACGGTGAAGACACGTAACAAAGACTTCTAGCATACCTACTTCTCGATACACGTCCTTAAATATATTATTATGTCTAAAGGAATAAATTTGAATTAATAGGAATTCGGTACATCGCTTTTTGCAAGAACCCTTGTATATTACCTGAGTATATTAAGGAGTGTTTCCATGCACAAGATACTGCAGTTAGTTGAATTATTTGTTTTAAGTAGTATGGATAAAGATATAAGTTCTTTACAAGGCACGAAATTAAGTTGAAACACTATAAATTCCAGCAGCTGAAAGAACTTCACCTGTATTTCCCGATTTTTTAAGTGAATCTTTTCTGCGAATTGGGACAATGTGTTTTGCCCTTCGAGTATAAAATAATTGGCATTATCACTGTGATATACGCTAGATATTGCATCAAGAATAGTACAACATAAAAGAGACGAGTTAGATTTCACAAATACAGATTGTAATACTTGGAATGCCTGGATATTTCGAACACTTCCACCTACAATTATAGCAAAACGTTATATTAAAATTGATTGAACGAGAAATAACGATTAAGAATATATATTCTTTCATATTGTAAAGTTCACACCTCTATTACTAGGCTGAGGTAAAGTAAAGCCAAGCATTTGAAATAAAGATCCCATACTAGCTTGGCTTGGCTTTAATTCGGTATGTCCACACATAGTTAAAGATACTAACATAAGAACTAAATTTCGTATAGCATCTTGTGCTTCTGCTCTACTATCTTGTTCTAATCTGGATGGGGCATGTCTGTAAAAAACATATTTATAAAGCTTGGAACGAATGAAATTTTAAGTTAAAAAATGACGTTTGTTTCTTACTTCAATAAAAATTCTGATAGAAAGATATAGCCTTGACAGGCACGGAAATCATCCAGAAGAGTTTGTGAAACTTCACTTGAATCTTTTAAAAAACAAAATACTGTGACAAACATTTCTACTACTTCCAATGGTGCCAGTTCAGGTACACGTTGCATATTATCAACACAATGTGCTATACATCCTTTTTCTACAATAGAAGTGGTATTAGGGAATAAAGAGTTAAATGTATTATTTCAATGGATTAAATCTGAACTGATACTTACTGTGAATGTAACTGACTACATTTTGGGTAAGTCCATGTCGAGATAAAGTCATTAATACTTCTGCCGCGCTTTTACGCCACATCACATTGTAATGAGGACACCAACTAGTTATTGCTGAGAATAATAAAGTAAGATCATCTTTGCGGGCCAGCTCTTCTGCTGGATAAGGATGACTGCATAATCTCACCAATAACTATAAATTAAACAAGGTTTATATCTCAAATAAACAATTCATTGAAACATTAAAATATTATCAAGATAAGTATTTATGTGAAGTATTTACTTGCACGAATATTTTTTGTAACAGTATCCTACGTTGCTTTGGGGTAAATTCACTATTTGTATCTGCAATATCAGCTTCGTCATCTATCATCTCAGGTAAATCAAAAAATAAATATAAGCATTTCACCAATGTTGAGGGAACAGAAGCAGTAGTCATTGCCTAATGAAATATTATATTAATACACAATGTATTGATCATTAGAATAAAATGTAAAAATGTTGTCTGTACCTGTATCAGGGAAGTATCACCTGCAGCAAGCAAATTTAATGCAGACAATAACATCCAGCCATTACTTGATTCTTCACTATTCTCAATTTCTAGAAATTTTACAATGGCACAACTCGCTGTCTCTGTACTCTGATTGCTTGCCCTTTTCCTAATTTCGGACACCATTAGTCTAGATACTTGTTGTGTAAATGCCAAGATGTCCCAAAATTTCTCACTCATATCTCCTGCAGGACTAGATCCAAATACCTGAAAATTAATGAACAATACTTGTTACACTTCATTCTTCCATAAAAACAATATATATTGAATAAATATTATTAGAACTATCCAGATGTTATAAAAGTAAATTCACTTACTTTACAAAATAATGGCAACATATTATATAGCTTGTCGTCACGTTCAGCATCTGAGAGGGGATGTGAAGGATGGGTATACTCAGAAAAAAGTTTTTTAAGGTGCATAAGACCTAGAGCAGTGTGTTGAGGATTTGTAGCTCCCACGCAATCATCTATACCACCTGCGTTACTGGAACTCATGCCTCCGACACTGGTACCCCCCCTTAATTTACGCATTATGTTCATACTTAGAATTTGCTAAAAGAAAATAAATAACATGAATCAATTTTTATACTTGTAAAACGATTCCTAAACTTCAATAAGTGAAACATATGGCATTGGTACATTCAGAACTTACATTATTCATGTTATGATGGGTATTGCATATAATATAACCATTACATTTTATTCACTTTACCAAATGAAATCTACATTTTTTTGTGTACCAACAAGATTTGCAAAGTTCAATGATGGACAATAATTTAAAGTACTATTTAAGTGGTATTTAAGAAATGTCTGTCAAATATCAATTGTGTAACATGAGAAACAAAGTTTATGATAAAAAACATGCAACTGCAATGACTTGGAATCATCCTTAACATTATAAATTATATAAACATATGTACATAAACTATATGGAATATGAACCTGTAATATATCAAATTTTCCATTCAATCATATTGAATAAATTTTATAGAGAACAAGTAAACCATAATTAACAAGAAAAACTAATAATTCACAAAAGAATACATTGAAACAATATATAACGCCAAAGAAAAAAAGTATATATTGCTACAACTATGCAATTAAAAATTATCGGACATTTGGTCTCATCTATCCCTGTGTATAAGAGATGTCTTATGAAAAATAGATTTAGAGTAGACTTCGTTGGAAAATGAAATAAAACCACGGAAAGCGATAAACGTTAACAAACGGTCACCCAATACATTAGAACGCTGATTGTACTGTCATTTGAAATGTTAACATATCGAGAAACGTGTAACATGTGAAAATGGCACATCGTACTGCAAGACGAGTCAAGATACCAAGTTACTTAGTCCATTAATCACAACAAATTAATTTTTCACGCGTATATCACAGGAATTTTCGCGCTTTGGATTCGTGACACTGTCCCTCATCGATGACTTAGTTCAATATTTACGTCTGTCGGCTGTCAAAATGTCAAGTTTGAGTGGGCCGAAGTAAAAACGACTCTCCGTAACCGCCCACGGATCTCGCGAGCAACACTAAACGAACTGCTCGCGAATATTGACTAAACTCATTGAGAATAGATTAGTTATTACCTGAAACGCGTCGCAACCCGGAAAATTCTACATTTTCTTTCGAAAAATTACTGTTTCGGCGAGAGTATTTAATAATTCAGTGGCAGCAGCCATCTTCGTTTATTCGACCGATTTCTTCGGTCCACGGCTGACACGATACGTCGATAACTATCACGTGACCGTCAATAATCGCGGATCTATTCGTCTTTTAATTTAAATTTCACTTTTCATTCGATTCATTTCGACTTCGTTATTTGACCTCCTTATATCCTGAAAATATTTCACATTCGTTTCGGCCGCGTTTTATGATGATTGTAAAAATATTTTTATTCAATAGGTGTGCCATTTGAATAATCTTATGGACGAACGATAAAAATATCGTAATTTAGGATGCGAAGGATTCAAATGACATTTCATGAAAAATTAATTACTTGGAATGTTAATCTTAGATAGTCACGATAACAGAACATATATTCCAGTTTTATTAGAAAAAGCAGTATGAAAATAATATGGTTTAATTAGTATAAATCAAACTCAAAAACGAGGTATTTTATAACATGTAATAACAGAAAAATATACTAGGAATGCGAACGAGAATTTTGTTTATTACTTCATACATTCATATTCGTAATTGCATTCATCACTGGTCGAAGGGAAATGGTTATTTACAATTACTTGTTTTATATCTTAATATTATTTTATGTACAAAGTACGTTCCATAAGAAAATTTTCAATTAAAATATTCGATCTGTACTGTGCCATAACTTTCAAGATGTACGTTGGAAAAAATCAGAAATTTTACGCTGTCCAGACTTTTTAATTAACGAGTCACGCCTGTAAGCTGATACTGCAGAAGTTTCGTTTGATAGTTGAATAGATTCGCTTGTACTATGCCCTTTAGGTGATATCACCATCGGTTGGCTCTTAGTTTCTGCTAGTGTGTTGCAAGCGTCAGTCATTTGATGGGGAATAAGTTCTTGCTTCTTATCTAACAATTCAAGACCGGACAATCGATGTTCATGAATCGTTTTAGTGTGTACTATATCCTCTGAGAGCTTCCATAAAGATTGTTTTCTTTTCTTCTCTCCGCTGTCCTTATCTTGAATGTGTTTCTCATTCTTTTCTCTATCTCGATTTTGTTCTTTTCCTGCCCCATCTGTAACATACGTGTACTCCTCAGTTACGATTTCTGTCTTCCTTTTACTGGTACTTGCTTCAGAACTAGCCAACCATCCTTGTATTCTCTCTTCTTCGGTTGGCGAATATTTAACGTCAGAATAGAAAGATCTTCTGTCATCTATGTTAACGCTTTTACTTCTCTTAAAAGCAAGTTCAGTTGTTGAATTCTGCGACAGCAGTGTCTTGTGCAAATACTGTGTCGACGGTTTTATTTTACTTCTGTTATATAAGAATTTATAAAAATCCATTTCACGAGTTCCAGCAAATTCTTGATATTGCAACAGCAAAGAAAATATTTGCTCTGAAAAAATAATACATGTAATCCGATCCATAAATGTGAAATATTTCAAAGAAGATTCAGTTGAAGTTAATACCTATGCTCGTCTCATTTTTTATGAAATGTGTATACATCTCGTTTATATCATCTCGCAGATTTTTATCGCCAAAAGTGAAATAAACAACGGATCGACCTGCTACAGAGGCAGCCATTAACTGTAATAATACTTTTAATTTTGGATTTCCTCGGAAAGCACCACAACCCCAATTTCCAGTTGCTATTGCGGGCAAATTTCTTTTGTTACTTTCACATCCGGCGAATCCTACGTATGCCTGCGCAGAATTACAATATTAGGCATTGTACAATCATTATTATAATTATGTGTAGCATTCAATTAATAACCTTATTAAGTTCTCTTGTTATGTTATTTATATTGAATTGAGATTGAGACTGTTTGAAATAAAGAGCATCAATTGCGACAATCGATGTCATTCGCCTTCCGCTACTATCTCTGGGTGTTTCATCAAGAAAATTTCCCATCCATTTAAAAGTGTTACTGTAACCTTTATATTTACTATACCTCTCAACACCACAAACAATTAAGGCTTCCGTATCATCTAATTCTTCCGTAACAAGCATAGTTACTAATAATTCAGGACAGATAACAAATCTGATCTCTTCTTGTACACAGCCTAAGCCAAGTACACCACCACCTACATATCTGAAGATATAAGGTGTTAAGATAATATATTGCAGTGATCTATTTGATACATTATTAATTTTTAAAACGTAAAATACTTGTTAGCAAAGTCCACTTGTAAGAGTCCAGCTCCATCGGTTTCTATTGTTCCTTTGCTTGTAATGTGTAATGGTGGTAATTTCTGCATTTTTTCGTCCCATTTTGGACAATTTGCTTTTGGGATATACCGTCGTTGGATCGTTACCACACCATCTGGGGCTGCTCTATGGCAAGATTATAGTAAAGTTCAAATCCTATCTCATTCTAATAAAATTAACTAATATATTTAATAATCTTGTCCTGAATATAAGTTTGGTTTCGGTAAAAAGCAACGTGTACCCACCTTTTGTTGTTACTCTTTTAAAATAATGAAATATACACTTCATTTTTTCCATTACTGATTCACATCTGTTCCATTTTTCTTCCTTATATGCTGAAAATAATCTAAATAAATGTATATATATATTAAAATGAAATTTACATAACTATTCAATTACTTATGATTATTCTTACTTAATACAAATTCATTTCAATGTCTATTAAAATACCTATTGAAGTTAATGTATGGGTATGTTCCATATTCAGATTGTGGATTAGTTGAATTTCGTCTTGGAAATGTACAGAAAAATGCATTAGCTAGTAAAGATGCTATTTGTAATTGACTAAGGCTAATTGTTGCATTGGTATGGCGTTTTAAAAGAGGCACTGGTCCAGTTATTAAAGTAGGAAGTTGTAAAGCAAGTTGAATCATCTTTGGCATCAAATCCTCAAAGAAAATATTTGTTTCATCCTCATCAAATACCTAGATTTGAAAACCCTATGTAATCAGAATATCCGATCAGACGTATGAAATTGTAATTGTTACCTCAGCAAAAAAATGATGCAGTGCTGCAAAATCCCAACGCTGTGCATATATGTGATTATAAGAAAGTATCGCGGTTTCCAATTGCTGTGTTGACACAAAATTTTGAAGTAAAGACTCTTGTATTAATTCCCATCTATTACGGCAATGCCGGGTTCTATCCTACATTCAAATATAAAGAAAATATGAGATAAATTGCATTACTTCTGAAATATAACATTACATATATTACTGCATACTGTAATTATTAGTACATACCTGATCTATCGGATATCGACTATGTTTTGAATGTGGCATTCGTACAAAATCCTGACACCATTTATCAACTTGATGTGGAGGATAAGGCTTTGGTACTCCATGTGCAGGTAATGGTAACTGTTTCGTAAAACATGCTAATTAAAATATAAAAGTAATAACTGAAAACTTTTATTTAATTCTATCTCATTTTAATCTTACCGATATTAATACTGTATGAGATGCAGAAGGAGATATGGCAGGAAGCTCCTGACAACTATATATTCCTAAACCCTTACGAATTTCATCCATGCTCACACCTTTCCACTCGGGTAAATCATCAGGAGAATCTGGTTTGTCCATGTCAATGGATATTGAATTTGCTTTATAAAACCAAATAATTTAATAATAAATTCAGGAATACAGGTGAAACTGATGCATATATTAATCTCTTACAATCATCAGAAAATTCATGGTTATTTGTAGCATTGTCTGAATCATTGAAAATATCTGGTGAATGTAATTCTTCATCAAATAACAATCCAGCTTCTGACATTATAGTTGTTCAACTACAAAAATTACAAATAACATGTAATAAATACCGATAAATGATAGAATTTAAAAAAATAACACGTTTACGTACGAAAATAAAATAATATAAAGGAAATACATAACGTATCTTGAAAAAAAATTATTCGATAGGTTAAGAATAAATTACGGCGGAACTAATAATTTTAATAAATTATCGTTTATAATATAACAGTAAACATTTGTGGTTGCCAGAGAACTCATTTGCCGCCACGATTCTTAATGGTATTAAATTTACTGTAGAAAAACTTGAAGTTGTGACAAAGAAAAGAAACGTATGTATAAAGTAACAGAAAATAGTATTCAACAAGTCTAATAAAAACAACATTTATACTTCATATTTTAATATTATGCGCGTCTTTCCAGAACTAAACACAACATTTGGTAGGAATTGAAATTATATCATCAACGAGGGATAAGATAGACTGGACACCTTATACGACTTCGTGATCAATGATCTACAATACCGATCATGTAAGTTCGTCTCTTCCCATTTGCAATCTGCTCGATCGGTTAATCGGATTGCTGGATAAGGGGAGACATTTACACGCTCCGCCTGATTGTTACGGTTTATTCTTGTAATTGCCTGTTTTCTTTCGTTAATAAATATTAAAACAATAACACAAAATAGTCGTGTCTAATTTATTAAAAGTCCTATTGTTAAAACAGCTATGGTGGCGCTACGTAGTGAGAGGACGCTCAAACTTCTAGCCAAATAGTACCAGGTCGGTACTGCATCGTGGCGTCATCAAATCAACTGCACTGTCCTCATTCACATATATTCAGTAATCAATGCTCAACATAGTGACAGCAAAATAGCTCAATACCTTGCAAGCTCTCGGGCCTTTAGGATCAACGTAAAAAAGCTCAAAAACTTCCACCTTTCGCATCTTTAATCCTTCAAAAAATGGCTCAAAAGCTCGCAAACTCTGATCTTGCGGCACAAACCAAAAAAGCTAAAAAAGTTAAGCCTTCGAATCTTTTACTCCCACAAAAAGTGGCTCAAAAGCTCGCAGCCACAACACCTTGCAGCTCAAACTAAAAAAGCTCGCAACTCGCGAATTCGGATCTTTAACTATCACAAATGTGGCTCAAAAGCTCGAAAACTCACCCGTGCGGGAGGCTCAAACTAAAAAAGCTCAAGGCGCATGCCTGCGGACCTTTAACTTCCAAAAAGTGGCTCAAAAGCTCGCAGCTCCAATGCCGTAGCGCACAGCAAAAAATAGCGAGCTTTTTAGTTTGAGCGATCAGAACAAAAAGTGCTTGCGAGCTGCTGAACCATATTCAGTTTTCTAGGACCGACGAAAATTTGAACCTTTCGAGATTTTTTAGTTTGAGCTACTAATCTAGGGGGGCTTATGAGCTTTTGAGCCGCCTTTCTCTTCCGTAGAATGTACAAAATTTCGAAAACATTGGAGCTTTTTTAGTTTGAGCCACAAATCGTTGGAGATTTCGAGCTTTTGAGCCATTTTAGTAAGAGTTAAAGGTACGCTGTCTTGACGTTTTCGAGCTTTTTTAGTTTGAACCACAAATGTGATATATTGCAAATTTTTGTGGCATTTTTGTTAGGGACAATAAAAAAATTAGAACTCAAAACAACAACTCCTTCGAACTCCCGTGAGGGACCCCTTGGAACCCCCATGAGAGACCCCTCAGACCCCCTCGAGAAACTCCCAAATTTAAACGAGA